AGGGGGACGACAATGGGAGTTTCTCCCTTGCACGGAGGGGAGGGAAGGAGTGGGGGAGGGATGGGGGCTTAGGGCAGAATCGCTGAAATCTTTTGTATGTGCCTTGATTTTTTTTCTTTTTTTCCTTTCTTTCTTTCCTTCCCTCCGTTTGCACTCTCCTTCCCTTCTCTTGTTCTCTCTGTCCCTGCCCACCCCACCCTTCCCTCAGATCCGGCGATTCCTGCCCTCGCCTCGCCCTGTCATTGATGGGAAATCAACTGGATCGCATCACCCACCTGAATTACAGCGAGCTGCCGACCGGGGACCCCTCGGGGATCGAGAAAGACGAGCTGCGTGTCGGGGTGGCTTACTTCTTTTCGGATGAGGAGGAGGACCTGGACGAGCGAGGCCAGCCAGACAAGTACAGCGTGAAGGGCTCCGGCAGCCCTGGCCAGGAGACGCCCACCCACCACCTCCACCACCAGCTGGTGCTGAACGAGACCCAGTTCTCCGCTTTCCGCGGCCAGGAATGCATCTTCTCCAAGGTCAGCAGCGGCCCCCAGGCTGGGGACCTCAGCGTCTACTAGATCATCCACCTGCACCAGGGGCAGATCCGGCAGGACAGCTTGTACGAGGCGGCCGCGGGCCACGTGGGCCGGGTGGGGAATAGCTGGTACCGCTTTCGCCCGCTGGTGGCTGAGCTGGTGGTGCAAAACGCCTGCGGGCACCTGGGCTTAAAAAGCGACGAGATCTGCTGGACTAACTCAGAGAGCTTCGCCGCCTGGTGCCGCTTCGGGAAAAGGGAGTTCAAAGCCGGGGGGGAGCTGCAGGCTGCTGCCGGCACCCAGCACCAGCAGCAATACTATCTCAAGATCCACTTGGCGGAGAACAAGGTGCACACGGTGAGGTTCCACAGCCTGGAGGATCTAATACGCGAGAAGCGCAGGATCGATGCCAGTGGCAAACTGAGGGTGATCAAAGACCTGGCTATAGTGGATGGGAAAGAATAGGGAGTAGCAGGGGTACGTGGCTATCTTCCTTCTGCCCTGCCTGGGGAGATCAGCCTGCCACAGAGACAGGAGGCTGCACCCTCTTTCCGTGGGATGTGACTGGAAGCAGGATCCATGGCAACATTCCAAAAAACCAGCATTCTTTACACCCATAGCCAGTATTTTGTTTGGCTTTTAATAGCATTAATGCTGAAAGAGCGAAAGAGAGGAAGAAAAAGGGGGGGGAGGTGCAGGAAGGCTGTTCTCGGAGTATGTGGACAAAGTCTCTCCTGTCGATCGATGTTGACCATTCTAGCAACATGCCAATAAAATTTCAAATTGAAATTTTTTTAATTTTTATTTCATGGCTTTAATCCATGATAAGTTTTAAACATCTGGGGCCATGGATGTGGATCTAGCTAAATGAGTTTCTAGCTAATACTCGCCTTGCAGCCAATGAAAAGCATCAGTCATACTTTGCTAACTGGGAGGGGAAGGGGGGACTGGAAGGGTAGAAAATGCCTGTCTGTTTTATTTTCAACACTGTTGCTTCAGCCTGTAGCTGCAACCCAATTTTTGTCCCAGCCAACTCTGGCAAGATATTAAGGGGGGAAAATGTTTTCACATTTCAAGTTGAAATCTATCACACTTAAAATATTTGTCTTCCGTGCTTTCTGTTTGCAGCTCACTGCTAAATGGCATCATAATGCATAAGCTCTCTTTACCTCTTCCCTCCTCCCACCCTCCCTGCCTTTTTTTTCTTTTGGGGAAAAAAAGTTGGTGAGCAGCTGTGTTCCTGAAACTGAATTCCCTGGTTAAAGGAAGTGGTGTATTTTGGAGAACGGTACACTCAATGTTGCTCCTCAGAGATCCATGCTTGAGCTGTGGATTTGTATCTCTGTAGTGATTCTCACTGCACCGCTGCTTCAATACCTCTTCATGCACAGGTCAACAGAAACCTGCAAGAAACAAATAGGTTTGAATTCTGCATGTTGCCTCTTCAGAATATTGCATATTTACAATTCCACTTAAAGAAAAAAAAAATTGTAATGTGGCTAACTTCATCTTGCATTTCAAATTCCAAGCAACTGAAAATCCTGTTCAGTCTAAGTTTAGAAATCCACAGCTGCATTTAAAAGATGCCTTTTAATGTGATGTGAGCAATGCCTTGGCTGTATTTCAGATCCTATTCACTCTTTGCTTAATTCTGAGTTTTGAAGTGAAAGATCAGAGTATTAAATATATATTTTAAAAAAAATCTAAACAAATTAAGTATACTGGGGCATTTCTAGAGCTATCTATTTTTTTTAATTATTATTCTGAGCTGCATACAACTTGTAATCAGCATTTTGTCTTTGCATGTTTCAGTACTGGAAAGAAAATGCATTTGTTTTTGTCCCCTCTTCCGACATCAATGTTAGATGGCAGAACAGACATAATACCCCTCTTCTGTATATACAATACACTCCACCCCCGATCAATGTACTGTGTCCTGGCTCCTTTTTGTATTAAACAATGTCATAAGCAGCCTTGTTGCAACAGTAATTTCATTTCTACAAAGTGTTTGCCTCCCATAGCTGAAGCTGTGAGGGTGGAGTGTACTTCACTATAATAAAAGTTTCAGCATAAATATCTTTAAAAAAAAAAAAAACCAAAACCTCAAAGCAATCAAAAAATAACACCCAACACACACACCCCAAAAAAAACCTGCACCCCTTCAGTGAAGGTCATCTAACTGGCTTTGTGTTTGCTGATACACTTGGCAAAATTATGCGGTAATAGGCAGTGTTACTTTTATCCCCTCCCCTGAAGTACCTTGGTTAGTACAATATAGGGTAAAGATGTGAGAAATGTGAATTGTCGTTAGTGTCAAATTACTGCTGAAATAGCCTCAAAACACAACATAACTTTTAATAAATGTGTAATATTTTAGCTTTATATTGGCAATAGTTGCTGTCTGATGATGATAACTTTTTCCATAACATGAACAGTCCTCTATGTAGTATTTGTGTATCTTAATTATTATCCTGATTAGATCTCCCAAATTGTCTGTTAGAGCTGATTTCTTTATATTGCTCGGTGGGAGCACTGTGGGATTGCAGAAAGGCACCGGCTTTACACCCAAGGCACTTACAAAAAATTAAAACTTAAGTGGTAGGAGAAGGAAGGGTGGGTAAATGTAATTTATTTTAGTTTCCCCTTAGAAAAAATATGCATTAGAGCACTGAGTTTGGAAGAGGCAGGGAGAATTATGTGAAGAGGGAATAAATAACAATGTTTATGAAGCCAGGATGAATGAAGTAGAGTCACATTGTTATTTTTGATTTCTGGAATGCTTTTTCTTCAAATTGCTCTTAGCTGAATAATATGGGATTAGAGAGAGGATCCTTGCAAGAACAGCTTTGCACGTCCTCACCAGTGAGAATTTAAAACATACTGGCTTTAAACTTTTCACTGTGCTTTCTGAATACTCCATCACTCTATCTAAACAGCCATTTTCACTCTGGGTTTTTTTGTAATGATTTACTAACCTGGTTCATAAACACGGCAATTTTCCTTCCTTTGCCTAGCTAGATGTAGAATGGCATTTTGTAGCATATAAAGGAAGTGACAGAAACTGGTCTATGCTTATTTATTCAAGCTCTGTTACAAGTCTTTGGCATTGCTCCAAATTTGTACCAATAAAGGCAACAACAAAATTAAGGCCTTAAACCTTTGCATAAGGTTTGGAGAAAATGCATTGGAAATATTCACAAATGGTATTAACCTAGGATATAGTATTGCCATGACTTATGTTCAAGCGGGCTGTTATTAACAACAAAGATACCCATGAAAATCCTTTTGGTTTTTTCTTTTGCTAGATTTCAATCCGGAGTTACTGACAGCAACCTGGTCCTGATTCATAGTCCACTGAAGTTAATAGAAAGGCTCTCACTGACTTCAGTGAGCTTTGGATCAGGTTTTAGTGTTCAGGAGGTGGTTAAAATTTGTGGACCTTGAGAAGAACTGAGATTTAAGACGGCGTTTCAGAGACCAGAAGGGCCACCTTTTCTGAGATAGGAGACAGTGGAAACAGGCAATACTGAGAAAATAAGGGAAGAAAACAGACTGGTTCTGAAACAAGCAGTGTTAATCTCAGACGGCAGTAGGAAAACGCTGAAAAAGACTGAGTGAAGAATGGATATAAAAAGTTGTTCAGTGCCTTGAAACAAACAGAAGGCAGGGGAACAGTCAACTGCGAGAAAGGCAATGACTGACAGGTAAAAAATGTAATTGATTATACTCATCTTTCAGGATCAGTGACCTGCCTGAGTTAACATTTCCATTTCCAGCAGTAAAGATATTGACAAATTATATCTGTGGAATCTGTTTACATTCTTCAGTCTAGCTACCTAGGGTAAATATTTACATCTCATTCATTGCTCTTGAAGTACTGACTTGTAATATGACTGCAATGTTAGGATACTTCGCACATCTTTCTTTTGTGTCACGTTTCAAGCTTTCTGTTAGCTATTTGGGTGGCAGTTTTATAGAATCTCTTTTGCTTGGATATGATTTTCTTTGTCTTTTCAAAATGCAGTCTTTTGAATTGCTTTGAGGCTAACATTTTATTAAAAATTCAGTTCATGTCCTCTTGAAACACAGACAGATTTTGTGAAATGTTTTACTGTCACAACCAAAATATTTACTGGTTATTGGCTGTGCATATAGGTAGAGAACTGTAAGGATGGTAGCAAAATAGGTTTTGTCACTGTTAAATTTTGTCTCCATCTTATGTTTCCAGGTTACTTTGTTTGCATTTGGGTTTTTTCCCCTCTCAAGTCATTATGGTTGTATAAAATGAAAAAAACCCAACAAAACTCCTCATAGCGTATTTTTTAGGGCAATATGCTATTGATCCATATGTGGATTTTAGATTAAAAGCAGGGTGTAACAAGATACTGGCCTTCAGGGTATGACAAGAAATGGCCTTCAGTCTATGCTAGAGTGTGCACAATCTTAATTATCCTGCCTCATTTCATTTTAGTGTCTTTCATATTCAGGTAAGTGATGTGCAAAAATCTGCCAGTTTATAGACCTGTTTATGCAATGTGTTGAACATCTGTAGCTCCAACCAGTGTTGGCTGGAGTTGAGAGAATGCTGGGTCTCACTAGAGACACGCAGCATCTTCTGGGATCAGGTACCTCAGCCCGCCCGGTTCCTGACCCTCTGTCTGCAGCTACAGAGGAAGCAGTGGGCTGAGATAGCTACTGCTAGTTTTAAGACTTAGTTATTTTCTATGAAAGATTTCTACTAGAGTAGCTAATGGTGTTCTGTCCATAATTATACTTGGCTGTGACTAAAAAAGTTGTATGTGTTGCTGCTTATGCTGTACAAACGGTGTATTTTCTGCTTTATAACCCAGGAGAAAGATTAAGAAAGTCCTGGTCCCAAAGAATGAATCCAGAAATATGTAAGGAGGTACCATTGGGCTACCATGCTGAGGGAAGTTTCAGTGCAGAATTAGGGTCTAAAGGATAATAATATATGACTAGTGTGATCAAGTGCTGCTCTTAGTTCATGAGTGTCAGTGTTTCCATGGCAAGGCTGGAATTTATTTGCTTACTTTATTATTATGAAATACTTAACTTCTCTGTACTTTGAGTTCAAATTTGACGTGTAAAACTGCCCTGTGCTCATGGATCCTCTGACACAATGTTAGTTTAACCTGTCACATTTTTTACAGTTTTATTGTAAAGAAAATTAATGAATACTGGGATCAGATACTTCACTGAACTGCTTGTAAATTCAAAAGAGGGTAGTGCAGATGTTAGGTTGAAAAAAGGCAATGAACTAAGAATCTTCTGTTACTTGGTTTATCAGTGTATTTACTTTAGGTTATATAGATATAATCTATACAGATATAAACGGCCAGTGCTGTATTTTTTATTTTTTTTTTTTGAAGTGGTTTTGGCACCCTGCATTATCTCTTTTGCAAAACAGTATTACCTTGTCTAAATGATACAAATCCCATGTGAAGTTCTGGTTTTTTGTATATTGAAATGTCACCATGCCACTGAAATGAACTGTTACTTTAACCATATTAA